CAGATTACAATAAGACAGTAACGACCAATCAGTTTGCGCTACGAGCTTTAACGTACTTTATGCAGACGCAAGTGTGGCCAATAGCTGAGCTACAAAATATTGATCGCGAGACACGGAAGATCATGGTGGAAAATGGAGCAAAGCGCCCCCAAGAATTCACTGAGTTACTCTATCTCCCCAGGAGTTCAGGGGGGAGAGGGCTAAAGTCGGTAGAAGCAGAGCATGAGATAACAAAGATAAAGGCAACTGTGAATATCTACGGCAACACAGATCCTACAATGGAACTACTTCGAGAGTTTAAAGAGAAAGCGGCCTAGGCTGGACGGCGCTCTGTGGTCAAAGACGCACAAAAGTTTGTAGAGGAGCTGAGGCTGGATCTAAAATTACAGCATCCGACTAGATCCAACCGGTCACGCAGCGGAAGGCGAGAGGATAGAAACATCGAAGTTTGGCGAATGGATCAGGAAAGAGGTGCAAAGGCCCAGGAAAGTGTTGCGAATGTGTTGCCAGGTTGCAGTGCTCTTGCGCAGACTAAATATCTTTACAGACACAATGCAGCACTCAAGATCCTTTACTTTGAGCTTTTAAGAAACCATAAGTTGATAGAATCTGTTTCTCCTTGGTATTCTCCCACACACCTCAAACCGATGTATGAAGACAATCACGTGACTGCTTTCTAGGATGTTCCAGTCTATATGTTCCTGACTATACAGAAGTCAGGGCTAACAGAATGGATGCAATAATTGTTGACAGAGAAAGAAGAAAGATAACGCTTTTGGAGATGAGATGCCCCTGGGTAGAAATCGCCAGCAGAAGGAAGAAGAAAAGACCTTAAAATATGCCCTACTGCGAACGGGGCTTAAGAGACAGCATACGGGTTTTGAAATAGAGCAGGGCCCAGTTGTTCGAAGGCCGATTAGCGCTAACCCAGGGTTAAATTTTAACGCGGGTCTCTTTTTCTTTTCATCAAAGCATTTTCTCGGACAATTTCTCTAATATTTTTAGAGTAGCCAATCATCAAATTGTTGACAAAAACTGAATTTGCTTTTCAAGCTTTCATATCTGAATTCAAATTTCGAACTAACCCTGGGTTATCCTAACCCAGCTTTGAACAACTCGGCCCAGGTCAATATTGTAACTGACGTCCTGGGTGGATATTCAAAACGGATTAGTATAGGTAATCACATGATTTCAAGTGCAATTTGGAATAAATAAGCACGAGTAAAGTACACGAGCTTATTTATTTCAAACTGCACGAGAAAAATCATGTGATTAGATTAGGTGTTTTAACCTGCTGTTAATGGTGTTTAAACTGATTTAAACCAGGTTGAAATATATTTAAAACTGTTTTTTAAAGCCAAGAATAAATTTCAAATTCAGCAAAAACGTTTTAAAATACATTGTACTAGTGTTTCAAACAGGCTAAAACACCCTTTTAATAAGTGAAAAACTACTTTTAAACTACATCTTAAATAAGAAAAAAATACAATTAAAATATAGCATTTTGCGAATTAAACATTTTATTTGTGACAAAACTTTAAAACAGGTAATAAAAGTAAGTTAGAACACCATTAAAAGCCAACTGAAAAACCCTTTAAATATATAATCACATATCTGGAGTTGTCTGAACCACCTACATGTATTTCTTGGGATTTTTCTCAAAAACTCACCATACTGACACTGAGTTAAAAATGTTTTGTAAAAACTAAAACGGGTACTGGAAAAGTAAATTCTTAAAGTAACCAACCAAATCCCCAGGTTCAACCAAGTTTTCTACAAAAAATATAGTTTATTTTCTTCTCTCCTACTATGACACATTTGTTAGCCAAATTCTTCTGCACGAAACGAAGGTCGCAAGTTGCTGGTACAGTATAATAGATAGATTTAGCCAGAGCTAAAACCATAGCTCCAGTTAATAAATTTATAATTTAAACCAAACAATAAACCTGCCATCCACAAATGGGTTATATTTAAGTGGAGAGATCCGTAAGACGTGGCCACAGTAGATTAGGCGTGGAAAACAAATAATTCCCAAGCAAAATGACCTTTTTGCTCACCTACACCACCGTTATTTTATAAGGGTAATTGGACAGTCCCGAAAATTAATTTTATGCTATAAAGGCCATAAAGACACGATAGTACTCGGTGGCAGTCCATTTACACTTTATAACTTATCGGCGTTCTCTCTCTTTCTAAAGGAAAGGCCAAAATGAAAAATTGGGTCAGAATTTTTTTTGTGGTTCGGTACAAGTCTGGTCGAGCTAAACCAGCCTTTTTGCATCATCTCTGCGGTAAACAAAACTATCAGGCGTTGTTTGTTTATCGTTCAGACCTCGGACAGAATTTATGCCATTTCAGGTGTCGGAGCAACTTAAGTTATTTCCACTAAGCAGTTGAATGTAGCAATATAGCAGTTTAAGAGTGGTTGCCAGAGAAAACCGGGCAAAATGTGAAAAATGTCAACGAGAGGGGGTCAACAGAATAAGCTCATACTAACATCATAGATAGGTCTGGTGGAGTATTGGACAAATATACCAAACATAGGTTCTTGACTGCTCTTGTATTAGAGATACGAGTATCACTTTATTCGACCCCCTCGGACGCTATTTTTATAAGCAAATTATCACCATTTTCTGAAACTCACACAACCAGCAAAATTTAACGAGCGAAGTTTATTTTTTGTATGCGATACAACACAAAAAGCTCGAAGTACTGCCTAGGTTACATTTTTAAAGGGCAAAAAGTGCTGAATAATAGGATGAAACTAGAAAATAACAAAGCGACGCCATCTTTCAGCGCTCAGGAGGGACTGGCACTAGTAGCTGCCTTGTCCACAAGATGATGAATTACCAAATGGCTAAAAAACAAAAATGAAATAAACCGGCTTATCAGCGACCTATAACAGTCCTATTTCTTCTTCAATTACTACTTTTAGTTAAATTTAGCTTGTTTTGTGTTGTCATTTTTTTTTTGGCGGAGTGATGGGGTCTGGTGAACAGGTGGCCAATTGGCATTACTTTATTCAGTCTTCATTTGCTCTTCATTCACTTCATTTTGAGTTATCTCGTACTCTTTACTGACTCTTTACAGTGTTATCTATTTTTGCGTCAGTCTTCAATCACCGTCCATGTCCGAAGGTCCACTCATCTCCTGTTCATGATTTCAGGGTGCAATTTTCATAGTCCGGAAGGCTTCGCCCTAAGGGTACCTCTTTCAAGTATCAGGTGTAACAAAGGGTAGGAAAATCACAAGTTGAAGTATGTGAAAGGAGCATTTTTTGCAACAGCGCCGTGGAAAGGATTAACAAACGAAATGGCGTTGGAAATTACCTCCGTAGGAGATGAATAAATTCCCGGATTTCTGTCATCATTACCTCCTCTAAATTAAGGCAAGACCTTGACAATTACTCTAAATGTGAGGACTGTAAACGTGATTCTGCTTATGTTAAACACCGTAGTGAGAGTGTTTTTGACAAATCCAGTGACGACGAGATGTAGGAGGTAATATTTCAAAAACGAGTGCGAGTGTTTTACCGGGGTTTCCACACACGAGAAAACTGATGAAAGCCCGAGGCCGTTAGGCCGAGGAATTTTATTGTTTTCGAGTGTTTGGAAACACCAGTAAAACGCGAAGCACGAGTTTTTGAAATGACTTTTCAATCGGCGCCTAATTGCAAACAAAAGAAAAAAAGAAAACAAAGGAAAGCAAAAATCACATAAGCATGTGATTTTTGCCTTCTTTTGTTTCATCAAGGCATAGTTTGTGATTATAATGTCCGTTTTTTTCACAACTGAAGCTTATTTATTTCAAGTAGTCACAATTTGCATTCAGTGGCGTTCTGCTAGTTCCGAAACATGGACGGGTTAGCTGAGGATGAATCTTGCCGGTTTCGACCGCCCAAAAGTGTGCAAGAAGAAGATTCTTTGCTTGTACAGTCCAAGCCTAAAAGTAAGATTTTGTTCCAATTTACGACCATAAATGTTACAGTCAACGTGTTGAGAAAGAGTCTCCTCAAGATGAAACCTCAGAAGATGTAGACGGCGATAATGATGATAAGAAGAAACTTCCACCTCTCCTTGTTTATGGAGATATTGAATGTTTGATTGAAAAAGATGTTGAAGGCAGGCAAGTTATGGATGCAGACATGATTCGATATGCTACTGAGGAAGATCCACAGAATGTATCACATGTCTTTAGTGGCGATAGATGCATTGAACAGTTCATTCACGCCATGAATAATCTAACAGAGGCGAACGACGAGGACAAACAGCGAGATTTAATTGTGATTTTTCATAACCTGAAAGGGTTTGACGGCACCTTCATCATTGAGGAACTTTACCGTCAGGGTATCAAAGCAGAAAACAAGCTGACAACCGGTGCTAAAACGTTAAAGTTTAATTACTGGTATATGAAAGCAACCATTACGTTCAAAGATTCTCTCTGCTTTCTAGCGAAGCCTTTGGCTGATTTGCCGGAAACATTTAATTTGGTCGAACTTCACAAGGGTTGGTTTCCTCCTGCGTTCCATACAAGAGAGAATTTAACTTACAGAGGTGCTATACCAGCTAAACAATATTTTCAACCTCAAGCTTTAAAGCCACGGAAAAAGGAAGAATTTGACACATGGTACGCGGCAGAATTAGAAAGAAACGACGAATACGTCCTTTGGGAGGAGTTAAACAAGTACTGCCATTCCGATGTGATGGTCCTCAAAGCAGCATGTCTACAGTTTATTCAAGAATTTAACGACGAAGCAGGCTTTAATCCAATAGAAAAGTGTGCCACCATTGCTTCTGCTTGTTATTTTATTTTGGAGACGGGACCTTATCCCAGAGGATACGATTGCCATTGAACCCTTGAATGGTTGGCGTGGGGCGAATGTGAATCAAAGTAAAGCAGCGTTGGAATGGCTATGCTATGAAGATTTCAAACTAGGGGAAAACAGACTACGCCACGTCAGGAACGGAGGTGAGCAAAAGGTGATTACACCAGGAGAAGCCATGTTTGTGGATGGCTATGACGAAGCCACCAAGACAGTCTATGAATTTCATGGATGCTTTTATCACGGATGTCTCAAATGTTTCCCAAACCATCGACAACGGGAACACAATTGTCATCCATATCGTACAATCTCAGAAGTCTATGAAGCCACCTGTCAAAAGACAAAGCAACTACGTCAGGCAGGTTTTACTGTCATTGAGAAATGGGAGCACGATTTTGAGGTTGAAAAGAAAACAAATCCCACTCTCATTAACTTTTTAACGACCTTTGGCCTGTCTGATCCATTCAACCCCAGAGATAGCTTCTTTGGAGGTAGAACCAATGGGGTCCGTTCGCATTGTGTCGCAGAAGAAGGAGAAGAAATTCACTATGTAGACATCAATTCGCTTTACCCATACGTAAACAAAACAAAAACGTATCCAATGGGCCATCCAGACATTTTGGTGAATCCTGTAGATCAAGATATTGGTAGCTACTTTGGGATAGCTAAAGTCAATATTCATCCACCACCCCAACTATATCATCCGGTACTCCCAAAACAGATTAACAGCAAACTGATGTTTCCACTGTGTACCAAATGCGCGGAAACCCAACAAGATCTTCCTTGGTTGGACCGTTCAGAGGTTTGTTCACACACCAACGACGAACGAGCCATGATTGGAACTTGGTGTACACCAAAGTTGCACAAAGCAGTAGAACTTGGCAAAAGAATTGTCAAAATCTATGAAGTGTGGAATTTTCCTGAGGATCAGCGTAAAGAGGGTTTGTTTGCAGACTATGTGAATAGATGGTTGAAAAACAAGACAGAGGCATCTGAATGGCCAAAGAATTGTGTCACAGAGGAAGCAAAGACAGAGTACATCGATGCCTATTATGCCCACGAAGAGGTTCAGCTGGAGCCTGAAAAAGTGGCCAAAAATGGGGGACGGAAACAGGTCGCAAAGCTTATGCTTAACAGGTGAGTCTAGGAAATACTTCACTTTGCAAGGCCGCTGATGGAAACCAACGAAAACTCATAGTTTGTTTACCTTTGTGTACTTGCAGCTTCTGGGGCAAATTCGGAGAGAAACCCAGCAAGACCCAGACATTTACAGTCACAAGCCCTGGTGAGCTATATACAATCATAGAGGATGCCGGGAACAACATTCACGATATACGAATTTGTACAGACGGTATCGTAGAGGTGGATGTCAGTAAAGTCGTGGAAGAGGTCATCCCAGGCAGTAAAACGAACATTTTTATTGCAAGTTTCACTTCGTCCTGGATTCGCTTAGAGTTGTACAAGTATTTAGAGTTGCTAAAGAATCAAGTCCTTTACTTCGATACTGACAGCATAATTTATCTTTGGCGTGAAGGCTTACCTGACGTCGAGACAGGTCCGGTTTTAGGCCGTGCTGATACACGAGTTTGTCACAGGCGGTCCAAAACATTACAGTTACATGTTACAAACAGGCGACACAGAATGCAAAATACGAGGCTTCACCCTGGATGAACAAGGCAGTGCATTGCTAAATTTTGAATCCATGAAACGTCACATTTTAACTGAAATCAAGGACCCGGAGGAGGAACGAAGAACTATTGCAGTACCTGTTAGCATCAACTTTGACACAAACTGGACCACCAAGAAAATCTGTCTAACCCCCAAAGTCAAGAAATACGGCCTTGTGTTTGACAAGCGTGTAATAAAAATAGAGGACTTTAGCAGCAGACCTTATAGCTATGAATGGATAGGCGAGACGCTTGAACTGTGACTGTAAAGGACCTAGTTAGAATTACCTTTTTGCCTCGGCGATTTTTTGTGATTGTTAGCTGAGATACAAAGTTTGATTCAATAAAGTGTGTGATGATTGTTTATCTGTGTGGAAACCAATCGGAAATTACCCAAACCCAAAGGCTAGGGTTCATTAGCATTTTAACCCTATTCCAAAGAGGAGGTCGCTGGAGGGGTCTGGGAACACGCGAGAGCTGCCTTGCTGACACAGCTTACTTCAGACATAAAGTGTGTCACTATTTCGTGGCGTGTTCAAATCAGTCAAGATGCAGTCTGTGTCCATGCAGGATTTGGAACAATTTTCTTACTGGCAAAAAAAATGTCTGACCAGCTCACATTGGTATCTCACATTGATGTCTATGAGCGATACTTTATTGCTTCAACGATGGATTACAGGCCATGGGTACCCTATGAGAACATATTGTTATGTCTCATTGCAAGTGATAGAACCGTTGCCACTACCCTTAACAAGATGTTTAGGGGTGCTAACGAATATTCCAGTCTTTGCTTTCTTTCCATAGACAGTGCCGTTATCACGAATATTATTAGCGATGATAAACTGGCTAAATTATCACTGGTTGATGGCTCAAATACAATCACCATGCATTGAATTTAAATTAGTCATCACGCTAATCCACGAAGACAAAAGACAATGACGTCATAGCCAGCGAACAAAAGACTTGCCCAGACTTGCTCGATGGCGTCAATGCAATGACAAAACATTGGTTTCTAAGACCTGTCCACAATCACTAGGCATCGCTTTTAGGTATAACAGCTAGACGGTTCAAAGGGTTCATTTGAGATTCTGATAAGTTTAATCATGCCGAAAGTAACGTATCCACGGGCTTGTCCAACCTGTGGGAAAAAATTAAACAGAGGACATTTCTGTCATCATAAAAAGCGGTGTGGAACTTTAGAACATAGAGTGCAGTGTCCGTTCTGTCTCTTAACATTTGCGTACAAATGAGGTATGCAACACCACGTACGACAGCAACACTCAAACAACCCTTTACGTTTTCCTTGTACGATTTATGGACTGGTATTGACAGGTGCTAAAGGTTTGAGAGTTCATGTGGAGACAGTACATTCAACTCAAAAACCTCGCTATGTGTGTTGGTACTGCATCGCAACGTTTACAAGAAATGACAACAAACAAATTCATATGCGACGTTTTCATGGACGTAGATGCTGAGAGCAAGAAGTGAATTTACACCTCTATTTGTACCATTTAAGTGAAGGTGATGACTTCCAGAACGAATGGATGTTTATGGAATCAAGACCCATTAAACGAGGCGAGCATAACATCTGCCCGTGTGGCCAGACAGGGTTACGTTATTACTTCTTTATGGAAAACAAATGGAACGGTAATCGAACTTTGGGTTCTGAATGTATTGGAAACATCGATCCAAAAGCAGGAGCAGTGATTTACCATTTCAATCATATTCTACATAACGGAGTGAAAGGGATCTACATGGGTGAGGGCTACAAAGGTCTACAGAAATTTACAGCCAACCCAACCACCACGCTCGTACGCTGCCTACCTATTGTCCAACATTTAAACCCACCACTAAAAAGAGACACATAGGGTCATTGGGAAGTCTCGGTGTTGTTTCCTAAAGCAGAGACTTTGGTTCATGGTAAATCATACCCACTTCGATTGCAGGCCAAGTGTGAACGAGGAAAGCTAAACTTAACTGTTGTGTAAATTTCACTAGGAGTGTCATTAGCTATGACAGGTAAATAAAATCACACTTTGTTAACGTTTAATTGTCTCTGTTTTATTCACTGGCTGTTTCTAATTTACTACAGAGTTGGGTATATTTAGACTGCAATTCAGCTAGTTCTTGCTGGAGTTGGGCCACGGTGGATTTCTTTGGGTGTCTTGAACTTCTGACGGTCCCCTTGCAGTTGATCCTTGAGCGTTTGATAACTGTCTTGATCTTGAGAGAGTTTTTTCTCTTCTTCTTGAATCATTTGATCCAAAATCACGCATTAGACTTGATCACAGGTAGCATTCAGAATGGCTTGAGTCTCGGGTGAACTCATTTTAGGGTAAGGTTTAATCGATTTCATTCGCTGCGGAAACGTGCCATTCTTGAGATGTTTTCTGAACCCTTTAATGGCATGCTCACGGTACCGCATTCAGCTTTAATGATCATGAGTTTCTGGCGATAACCCTTCAACCTGGTCTTGACAGGCATAGCTTTTTCTGTCTTTTCAGTCTTGACAGAAAGATCTTCTACAGCGTCACTTATAGCTGACATCTTACCTCAATGCGATCTAACGTGCAATTGCTGATTGTAGAAACAGATCCATTCTATTTATAGCCTGTGGTGAGGTCTCATGGCAAAGGTATAAGGGAAAGGTGAGTGCTAATCTAATCATCATTTATCACAAAACATCATGTGGGTAGGAGGCTACAGCGATTGGACTCCGGCAGAAAAGCGTGAATGGGATAGAGATTTAGAAGAGTTAGAGGCTGATCGGGAACAGAGAGACCTGACGGATACATCTAGTATCACTCCCTCCTCTAAAATCGAGAAAGGAAAAGATAAACTATCCTGGCTAGAATTGGCCAAAGATTTTCCTCTGTTTAAAGTGTCCTATACAAGAGTCAATGGAACTAATTTGTACGCAGTAGATCTGAAGCAGCTATTTCCTAGAAAACAAGGGACCCGCAATTTGGATTTTGAAGTTGTGTATCCTCTCTATGTTGGATTGAATGAGATCATTGAGACGAGAAAAAAACCTAGCACCACCCTCATAAAAGTACAAGTCTCCTCAAGGGAACACGAGGATGTGACGTATGCTTGTGAATTCTCACCAGACACGTGGTCTTATACAACCATGGATGAAATCACAGAGGCCTTGGCGGACCAGTTATCCATGAAACAAAACTTAAACGGAGGCCTGTTTGATGAACATTTTACTGTACGAGACGTAACTGTCTAAAGTGCAAGTTTCAACGAACACGATCCTAGACTGAAAAAGTCTGCAACTAAATTTGTAACGTGTTGAACAAGTCTGCAAATAAAATTGTAAGGTGTGGAAAAAGTGTGCAACTACCCTTTAAGTATAATCACTGTCCATGCAGAAACTATCCTCAGGCACCTTACAGGCACCCTACAGGCACCCCACAGGCACCCTACAGGCACCCTCAGGCACCTTACAGGAACCCTACAGGTACTCTCAGGCACCCTATATTTTTACATGAACCAAAGAGTATAAAAGTGATGAGAACTAGTGGGGAACGGATCAAGTGTAACTAACAGCCGTAGCGTCACTATGCCTTACTGTAACAGGCGATCATGTCCAATCTGTTGCAAACCGAATTTACTCTCATTAAATCATGACCTATCTCAAGTGCATCAGTTATCCAGTAAAGAACGAAAACGGCGGCTAAAATCAGCGGTATTTTCGGTAGCCAAATCGACAGGATTACCTTATATGTCACCTGACCCCTTTTTGGGGTATGCTATCATATTCTTTGGGCAACACCCCTCAAACACCACCCGTTAGACAGTCCCTAACCACTGAACCGAAACAGTGGCAAATTGCAAAGATACAAGCAACTGACTGTTTGGAGACGACACCTTACCCTGACTTTAAGTTTAACCACATGTTTTCGATGCTAGTGGTGGGACCGAGTCAGTATGGTAAAACGTATTTTGTGGAGCAACTGTTAATGAACAATCGTGTCAAGTACCCTAGCAAGAAACAGAGACGTATTTTCTGGTTTTACAATCAATGGCAACGTCGCTATGCAACCTTGCAATCAACCCTGGGTAATGAGATAGTGTTTACTCAAGGCTTACCTACACTGAGTTAAGATCTAACGGAAATCAACCCAAAGTTTAACAAGGTGTTGGTGTTTGATGACCTAATGAGCCAGGCAACTGACAGTCCTGTGCTATCGCTTTCGTTCACTCAAGGTAGACACCGCAATGCGAGCGTCATACTGTTACTGCAAAATATGTTTCAGAAAGGAAAATCCAACACGGATATTAGCTGAAACGCTCAGTACATAACACTTTTCCGTAGCCCCAGCGATAGAAAGCAAATAGACATTGTGGCTGAGCGGATTTTTGCGAAAGACAGACAAAACTTTATGGATGCGTATGTAAATGAAACAGAAAAGCCTTATGGGTATCTTTTGATGGACAATCAATCCAAGACTCCAACAGAGAAACAAGTCGTAGCAGATGTGTTTGAAAACTGCCACTGTTATCCCAACATAACCACTTGTACTAAGACCGTATCAGGTTGATATATAGCAAGTCTAGCTAGCTCGCATGAGGAGCGAAGTTAAGTGATTCATAAACACACAAAATAGATCTTTAATATTATCTACATTCACGGGACACCTCGAATTGAGGAGGGAATGAAGCAAGGCCAGTTAATCACCAATTAACCTGTGATCAGGCTTTCCTTTGAAATAAGACTGGAGTAGGTCGCTGATCAGCTGGTTTGTTTGTTTTTTGTTTGTTTGTTTGTTTTTTTTTATCTTATTGGTAATTACAGGAGCCAATAGGCTCCTTGTAATAGACCGTAATAGCCCACGTTCGATAAAGAAAAATTCTAACATGAATCCGAGGCTTCCTGGTCACATTTCTATATTAGGTTTGGTTTTCTATGTGCTCAATTCTCTTTTGGGAATTGCGAGACAGCGGAGTCGTAAAAAATTTGCAATTTTTGTCCGTATGTTGGACATCGAACGCAACTACTAGTGCCATCCCCCCTGAATGCTGAATTTTCAAGATGGCGTCGCTTTGCTATTTTCTAGTTTCATCCTATTGTTCAGCACTTTTTGCCCTTTCAAAAGGTAACCTAGGCAGTTTTTCGAGCTTTTTGATATTTCCTCCAGCTGCTGAACATACTTTACAGCAAAATATGAAAGAAAATTCACGAAGAGGACTTAAGACAAACACGAAGGGATCCGCCTGTTTGCAAGAAAAAGCTTGGAAACTATAACAAATGTGA